GCTGTTTCCAGAGGCTTTACCATAGGTTTTGCCTGTCTTAGATCCTGCTTCAGAGTTTCCTAAAATATCTCAAACTAGCAGCCTCTGGTACCTGAGCCCACCAGTGCACCTGGCACCAATGAAGCAGTGGACATCCTGTGACAACACAGACCAGTACACAGTAGTAGAGCTGTCAAGATGCCGGTTGCAGAAACTGCAATGGCCAGGAGCCCAACACCATCCCCCGCAGTAGCAGCCCAATCAGAGTGGAGATATACCCCCGTGAACAGAGGCTGGGGAGCAGACATCCATCCCCAGGCAACAAAAGCACAGACCTACAGCAGAAAACTATTCCCCTCCCCCCCAAAAAAAACTACAGCAATGGCTAAGCAGGAGCTGAACCCCACTGGGCAGCAGTACTCCCCAGCCATGAGCAGTGGGACTGGGGACTCCTTAGGGCCCTGTGCAACCCAGTGGCCCACAAAAGTTGTATGTAGCCAGGGCTCAAGAGAAATTAGTCTCAGCAAGCCCATACCTCTAGTTATGTGGCCCCAGGCCTTGCACTAGAAGCAGCCAGCCTTGGTTCAGAATTTGGCTTTTCCTCCAAGCCCAGCACAAGAAGCAGCCATCTGCAGATCACTTTGTAGCTTATGCCTGGTGGCCCTGGGTAGAATTACAGGCAGTGGTTGACCTTGCCCCAGAGCTAGCACACTTGGTGGACAGTTTCAGACCACATTGAAACACCACCACCCAACCACCTCCATAAGTGACACACTCAATGAGTGGATTCAGTGGGTACCAGAGCCCTGCTGAAGTAAGTCTTGCTCTGTTTTGTGGACCCCTACACAGCTGATCCTCCAAGGTAGTGGCTAGTGGGCACAGCCAGTCAGTGCAGCTGACCAGACTGAGTAAACCTCTCCCACTGATGTGCCAACAGCAATCAAGACTCAATTACAAGGAAAGGAAAGGGTATACAGTCCACACTAGGGTTGCACTGCAAGGGCCTAGCTGGGGTGATCAGGAAGACTGTGCCACTGGATCCTACAGCACACCTACAACAGTAGGCCACCCTACAAAGCCCAGGAGGCATAGCCACTCTGCCTAATACATAGAAACAATCACAGGGAAGCAGCCAAAGTGAGGAGACAAAGAAACATGTCTCAAATGAAAGAAAAGAATAAAACTCCAAGAAAATAACTAAACAAAATGGAGATAAGCAATCTAACAGATGCAGACTTTAAAACACAGTATATAAGGATGCTCAGGGAACTTGGTTTGACATACAAGAAACTTAGTGAGACCTTCAAGAAACTTAAGAAAATCTCTGAAAAACTTAGTGAGAACATTAACAACATAAAATGGGGCCAGTCAGAAATTAAGGATGCACTAACTGAAATAAAGAATAATTTACAGGGATTCAATAGTAGAGTAGGTAAAGTCAAGAAGCAAACCATCAATTTGGAATAAAAGGAAGCAGAAAACACCCAACTAGAACAGCAAATGAAAAAAGAATCCAAAAAAATGAGGATAGTGTAAGGAGCGTATGGAACAACTTGAAGTGTGCCAACATTCGCATCATAGGGGTCCCTGAAGGAGAAGAGAGAGAGCAGGAAATTGAAAATCTTTGAAACAATAATGACAGAAAATTACCCTAACTTGGTGAAGGAAAGAGACATATAAGTTGAGGAAGCACAGAGAGTCCCAAACAAGTTGAACCCAAAGAGCTCCACACCAAGACACATCATCATCAAATTCCAAAGGTTAAATACAAAGAGAGAATCTTAAACGCAGCGAGAGAAAAGCAGTCTGTTACCTACAAAGGAGCTGCCATAAGACTGTCAGCTGATTTCTCAAAAGAAACTTTGCAGGCCAGAAAGGAGTGGCAAGAGATATTCAAGGTGATGAAAAGCAATGACCTACAACCAAGATTACTCTATCCTGCAAAGCTATCATTCAGAATTGATGGCCATATCAAGAGTTTCCCAGACAAGAAAATACTAAAGAAATTCGTCACAACCAAACCAGTATTATATGAAATGTTGAAGGGTCCTCTTGAAGGCAAAGAAGAACAAAAATATGAACAATAGGGAAAAGATGGTGGCAGGCAGGACCGGAGGGAGGGTGAGTGTGTGAGAGAGTGTGAGTGGACATGAAGGTGGAAGACCAAACTCATGCAGTGCAGAGATGCGGGGCAGAAAGTTCCTATGCTGTGGATGGGAGCAGCCAGCTACCACGGTAGCTCTCTTCAGGGAGCTTCTCCCTGTGCCGCAGGGAGGTCCCACCATTTTGGAAGATCTCAGGTGGTCCCTGGGAGGAGGCAGTGGAAGCAGCTAGGGCCCAGCAATCTGAGCCCACCAGCGCACCTGGCACCATCAGACCAGTGGACACTCTGGGTCAACACAGACCAGTGCACAGTAGTGTTGCTGCCAATGTGCCAGTCATGAAAGCCGCAGAAGTCACAAACAGCTGGGAGCCCAGCATCATCCCCCCATAATAAAAGCCCAATCAGAGTCAATATATACCCCCAGCAACAGAGGTTAGGGAGTAGGTACCTTCCCCAGGCAACAGAAGCACAGACCTGCAACTGAGACCCATCCCCCAAAACTATAGCAAAAGCTGAGCAGGAGTTGAGCCCCATGGGGCAGCAGCACTCCCTAGCCACTAGAGGCGGGACTTGGGACTCACCAGAGGTCTGTGCAATCCAGCAGCTCACAAGAGCAGCTGGAAGCCGGAGCCCTTGAGGGACTGGTGCAATCCAGCTGCCCGTGGGTACTGCAGGGTACTGGGGCACCAGAGAAGCCTCTGTGACCCAGTAGACCACAAGAGTGGAGAAAAGCCAGAGCCCGAGAGGAACTGGTGTAATCCAGCTGCCTGCACACAAAATCTGCAGTGTGCGGGAGCACCAGAGAGGCCTGTGCTACCGAGCAGGGACTGTGCCATTTAGTTACCCGTGGGACCTATGGGGTGCTGAAGCACTAAAGAGATCTATGCAACCAAGCAGCCAATACATAGGCATAGAGCTGGGTCCCCAAAGGGACTGTGCAATCCAGTTACCCGCAAGACCTGCAGGGTACGGGGGCACCAGAGAGGCCTGTGCAACCCAGCTGCCCACAAGATAGGCATAGAGGATGTGAAAATAAAGGAGTGAATGGAAACTACACAGACGATCTTCCAGGACCTAACAAGAATGACAACTAAAGTAAAATCAAATCCTCAGAAAAAAGCAACAGAAAAGCAGCAGGACAAAACCATACAACCAGGAACACTGGTAGGATCTGTGGAGGCACAAGAGGGTGGTAGGCTGGGAGCCCAGGAACAGCAGCAGTCTTATCTGTGAGCAGTGCCCTTGGGGAATAAAGACCAAGCCCGTTCCACAGTGCACAGAGCCAGGAAAGAGTGTTAAAATAGCCACAGCCACTCACCTGAGGGCTACTGCACAGGGAGGGCAGACTGGGCGGGAACCCTGGTTTAAAGGGCACTCAGAATTTATGCTGTGTTGCAGCCACAAAGGACTGTGGCCAGTGTACTTTTTCACAAAGCTGTGGGGTAAAGCAGCAATCCCACACCCCTCAGAGATTCAGCCTTTTTCAGGTGAGGCAAAGAAATGCAAACTGAGGCTCGTTAACAACCAGCATTTATCCCACCCTCTGGAAATTCTCTTAGGTAGAACACCAGGGTTACATTCCAAGGCACTGAGTAACTGACACTACCAGCCACCAGGAATAAGCTAGAGAATAACTGAACCTTTCCTGGGCTTGCAAATCTACCCAGGAAAGTAAGAATTGACAGTGGTGTTTAATGTGAACCTGCCCAGGCCCATCCAAACCCAGAAGAGTGAGCCACAAACATCAGAACACCAACACCAACAGGGAAAATTTGGCAGGCTCTAAAACCCACTGAGATAGCCAAAATGGTGAAACAAAAAAACAAATCCCAAATAAAAGAAAAAGAGAGCTCTATCCAAAATGAGACAAATGAGGGGGGACTGAAAATGGCAGGAGAGTGAATGAAAGCTACACAGACCATCTCCCAGGACCAAACTGGAATTACAATGAAAATAAAGACAAATCATCAGGAAAAGGCAACCAAAAAGCAGCTTGGAGGACCACATAACCAGGGACACTGACTCAGTCCTGGTAGGCTTGCAAAGACGCGAGAGGGAGCCAGGAGCCCACGGTCCGCTGCAGACTGGGCTGGGAGCTGCAGCGGCCTTGGCTGGGACCTGCAGTGACCTCGGCTGGGAGCTGAGGCGGCCTCGGCCTGGTGCAACGGCCATAGCTGGGAGCAGCACCCTTAGCTGGGAGTGGCACCCACAGGTTCCACTCCCAAGTGGCTCCACAGGGCAGAGCCAGGACAGAGGCTAAAATAGCAGCAGCCACCCACCTTGGGCTCTGGCAGAGAGAGGGCAGACTGGACTGGAACTGTGTGGGGACACTCGGGATTTGGAGGATGCTCAGAGCTTTTGCTGAGTAGTAGCCACACAGGACTGTGGTCATATTCCTTCCCAGGCCCTGGGGAGAGGTGGCAGCCCCTCCTTCAGAGATTCAACCCCACCCAGTGGCCATTGAAATGCTAATTGAGGCCCATTAACAACCAGCATCTGCCCCACCCTTGGAAAATCCTCTTATACTGAGCACCTGAGGGAGTTTTTCATTCAACTTAGAAACCAAGGTTCTTCAGGTGACCACAACTAATAGCCTCCAGGGAAAAAAGCTAGAGGATAACTACCATTCCCTGGGCTAGCAACTCTAACCAGGAAAGTAAGACTTGACAGTGGTGATTAACTTGGATCCTCCCTGTTTCATCCAAACCCAGCTGTTTCATCCAAACCCAAGAGACGGAGCCACAAAATGCAGAACACCAACACCCACAAGGAATATTTGGCAGGCTCCAAAGCCCACTGTGATAGCCAAAATAGTGAAACACAGAAACAAAAGCCGAATGAAAGAACAAGAGACCTCTACGGAAGATGAGATAAATGAGTGCAGTTAAGCAAGTTAACAGAACTAGAATTCAGAGCCATGACCTTGAAGAAGCTAAACAGCTGTACGGACATGAGGACCATGAGTAAAGATATAGAAATGTTGAAAATCAACCAGTTGGATATAAAAAACTACCAAGAAAAAATAAAGAATGACATAGCAGAAATAAAGAACACATTGGAAAGTCTAAATAGCAGAGTAAAGAAAGCTGAGGACCAGATCAGTGAATTAGAAGATAGAGTAGAAAAAAATAAACCAATCAGAAAACCAAAAGGAAAAAATAATTAAAAAACAGAAAAACAGATTAAGAAAACTATGGGACAACAGAAAACATAATAACATTCGCATCATAGGAGTCCTCAAAGAAGAAGAAAGTGAGCAAGGGTTAAGAATGTATTTGAAGAAATAGTGACAGACAACTTCCCTAATTTGGGGAAGGAAGAAGGCATTCAAGTTCAAGAAGCACAGAGAGGCCAAAGTAAGAAGAACCCAAACAGGCCCACACCAAGACACATAGTAATTAAAATGCCACAAATCAAAGACAGAGAATCCTAAAGTCAGCAAAAGAAAAGCAACAGGTTACCTACAAAGGAAACTCCATAAGGCTCTGAGCTGACTTCTCACAAGAAACACTGCAGCCCAGAAGGAAATGGAATGAAGTTATCACAATCATGAAAAACAAGGATCTGAATCTAAGACTACTCCATCCAGCAAGGCTATCATTCAAAATAGAAAGTCAAATAAAGAGATTCCCAGACAAAAGAAGGCTAAGGGAATACATTAGCACCAAACCAGCACAGCAAGAAATGTTAAAAGGACTGCTGTAATTAGCAGAAGAAGTAGGAAGAAAAATAGAACCACACTAAACAAAAACGGCAATAAATAAGTACATAAAAATAATTACTTTAAATGTAAATGGATTGAATGCTCCCATAAAAAGACACAGAGTAGCTGATTGGATAAGAAAACATGACTCATCTATATGTTGTTAACAAGAGACCCACCTTACAACAAAACACTCACATAGGTTGTGAAGGAATGGAAAAAAATCTTCCAAGCAAACAGAAAGGAAAAAAAGCTGGGGTAGCAATACTCATATCTGATAAAATAGATTTCAAAATGAAGGCCATAACTAGAGACAAAGAAGGCCACTACATAATATTGAAAATATCTATCCAACAGGAAGATATAACCTTGATAAATATATATGCACCCAATATAGGAGCACCAAAATATATTAAAAATCTTCTAGAGGAGTTCATAGGAGAAATCAATAGCAATACAATCATAGCACAGGACTGCAACACCCCGCTGACATCACTGGACAGATCCTCTAGACAAAAAATTAGCAAGGAAACAGAGACTCCAAATGAAGCACTAGACCAAATCGATTTAATAGATATCTACAGAGAATTACACCCCAAAAGTACAGAATTCACATTCTTCTCAAGTGCACATGGGACATACTCAAAGATAGACCACATGTTAGGACACAAACTAAGTCTCTACAAATTCAAAAGGATTGAGATCATATCAAACATCTTCTCAGATCACAATGGCATAAAATTAGAAATCAATTGCAACAAGAACATGCAAAGACATTTCAACACATGGAAGCTAAATAGCATGTTGTTAAACAATGAATGGGTTACTGAGGAAATCAAGGAAAAAATTAAAAACTTCCTGGAATCCAATGAAAATGAACACACACCACCACAAAATCTATGGGATGCAGTGAAAGCAGTTCTGAGAGGGAAGTTCATAGCACTACAGGCCTACCTCAAAAAACAAGAAAAATCTCTAATGGACTATCTAACCTCACAACTAAAATAACTAGAGAGCAAACAAAAAGAAAACCCCGGAGCAAGTAGAAGGAAGGAAATAGTAAAGATCACAGCAGAAATAAACGACATAGAGACCAAAAAAACAATTTAAAGTATCAATGAAACAAACAGCTGTTTTTTTTGAAAAGATAAACAATGACGGACCCTTAGCTAGACTCACCAAGTAACAAAGAGAGAGAACCCAAATACACAAAATCAGAAATGAAAGAGGAGAAATAACAACTGACACCACAGAAATACAAAACATCGTTAAGAACTACTATGAACAATAATATGGCAACAAATTGAACAATCTAAGCAAAATGAACAAATTTCTAGAAACACATAGTTTCCCAAAACTGGCTCTGGAAGTAATAGAAAACTTCGATGAACAGACCAATAACAACAGAAGAAATTAAAGATGTAATTAAGACTCTTGCAGCAAACAAAAGCCCAGGCCTGGATGGCTTCATGGGGCAGTTTTACTGAACATTTAAAGAAGAACTAATACCCATTCTCCTCAAACTATTTTTAAAAATTCAAGAAGAAGGAAGACTTCCAAATTTGTTCTATGAGGCCAGCATAATTCTAATTCAAAAACCAGAAAAAGACACTACAAAGAAAGAAAACTACAGGCCAATATCCCTGATGAACATAAATGCCAAAATCATGAACAAAATACTAGCAAATCAGATCCAGCAATACACTAAAAACATTATTCACCATGACCAAGTGGAATTCATCCCAGGGATGCAAGGATGGTACAATATTCCCAAATCGATAAACGTGATACACCACATAAATAAAATAAAGAATAAAAACCACATGATCATATCAATTGATGCCGAAAAAGCCTTCGATAAAATCCAGCATCTATATCTGATAAACACGCTCAGCAATGTGGGAATAGAGGGATCATATCTTGACATAATAAAGGCCATATATGAAAGACCTACAGCCAACATCATACTCAATGGGCAAAAATTAAAAGCATTTCCCTTAAGAACAGGAACAAGGCAAGGATGCCCACTTTTACCACTCTTATTTAAAATAGTATTTGAAGTCTTAGGCACAGCTATTAGTCAGGAAGAAAAAATAAAAGCGATCCAAATTGGAAAGGAGGAAGGGAAACTGTCATCATTCGTAGATAACATGATACGATATGTAGAAAACCCCAAACACTCCATCAAAAATGTACCAAACTTAATAAATGAATTTGGCAAAGTAGCAGGATACAAAATTAATGTCAAGAAATCGATGGCATTCTTATACAACAATGATGAACTCACAGAAAGAGAAACTGTAAAAACAATCCCATTTACCACTACGGCAAAAAAATTAAGATACCTAGTAATAAACTTAACCAAAGAAATAAAGGACCTATTCACAGAATACTACAGGTCATTGGAAAAAGAAATAGTGGAAGACATAAAAAAGAGGAAGCACGTACCCTGTTTATGGATTGGAAGAATTAACATAATTAAAATGTCCATACTACCCAAAGCAATCTATAGATTCAATGTAATCCCCATCAAAATGACAACAACATACTTCACAGAATTACAACAAATACTTCAAAAGTTCATATGGAACCATAAAAGACCTTGAATAGCCACAGCAATCTTGAAAAACAAGAATGAAGTTGAAGGGATCACATTACCAGATTTCAAGTTATACTACAAAGCCACTGTAATCAAAACAGCCTGGTACAGGCACAAGAACAGGTATATAGACCAGTGGAACAGAACCCACAACCCAGAAATGGACCCAAGGCAATATGCTCAATTAATATTTGACAAAGGTGGCAAGAGTATATAATGGAGTAAGAAAAGCCTCTTTGATAAATGGTGTTGGGAAAATTAAACAGCTACATGCAAAAAAAAAAAAAAAAATAGGAAACTAGACCATCAACTTACACCATACACAACAATAAACTCAAAATGGATAAAAGAGTTAAATGTCACTCATGAATCCATAAAAATTCTAGAAGAAAATGTAGGCAACAAAATTTCAGACATCATACGCAGCAGAATTTTCACTGATACATCACCTAAGGCGATAGAAACAAAGGAGAAAATGGACACATGGGAGTACATCAAATTCAAAAGCTTCTGCACAGCGAAAGATATAATCATCAAAACGAAAAAGGCTACCCACTGTATGGGAGAGCATAATTGCCAATGATATAGAGTGCTCATACAACTCAACAAAAGGAAGACAAAGAACCCAATTAAAAAATGGGCAGAGGAACTAAATAGACACCTCTCCAAACAGGACATACAAATGGCCAAGAGACATATGAAGAAATGCTCAACATCACAAATCATCAGAGAGATGCAAATTAAAACAACAATGAGGTATCACCTCACACCTGTCAGAATGGCCGCCATCAACAAATCATCAAACAACAATTGTCGGTGAGGGTGTGGAGAAAAGGGGACACTAGTACACTGCTGGTGGGAATGCAGACTGGTGCAGCCGCTGTGGAAAACAATATGGTGTTACCTCAAAAAATTAAAAATTGAACTTCCATTTGACCCAGTGATCCCACTTCTAGGAATATATCCTAAGAAGCCTGAAACATCAATCAGAAAGAATATATGTTCCCCCATGTTTGTAGCAGCACTATTTACAATAGCTAAGATCTGGAAACAGCCCGAGTGTCCATCAGTAGACGAATGGATAAAAAAGCTGTGGTACATACACACAACAGAGTACTATGTAGCTGTAAGAAAGAAAGATCTCTTATCCTTTGAGACTACATGGAGGGACCTGGAAATTATTATCCTAAGTGAAACAAGCCAAACAGAGAAAGACAAGTATCATATGATCTCACTTATATGTGGAATATAATGAACATAACAGTCTGAGGCATGGGATAGTCCCAGAGACGTGGAGGTGGGGCACAGACTGACAATCCCCAGATGGGGGAGAGGTAAACCACAGAGCTTATATGCATGTATGCATGAACAATGGACATGGACAACAAAGCTGGCGACAGGGCTGGGATGGAGGGGGAGGGAGGAATCAGTGGGGGGAAAAGGTGAAACATCTGTAACAAAAATAAATTAATTAATTTTAAAAAATGAGACAAATGAAATGCAGTTAAGGAAATTATCAGAAGTAGAGTTCAGAAGCATTATCTTAAAAAAGTTCAAGAGCATGAGTTAGGACATCAGGATCATGAGTAAAGATATAGAAACATTTAAAAACCAACCAAGTGGAAATGGAGAATGACATAGCAGAAATTAAGAACACATTGGAACTGTGCCATAGCTTGTGGTGTTAATACGCCCCTGTGTCCATGGAGAGAGGTTGAGGCGTCCGAGCTCCGGCCCAAGGCACCAGGGCACCGGGACAGTGAGGATGTAAGCTTCTTTAGTCAGGCCACCGTCCGGGCTGTGAGCAAGAGTAAGCTGCAGCCTACCTGGGTGGCCCTCACCCTGAAACCTTCAGCAGTAAACAAGATAAAACAACTTCTTAAAGATAAGCCTGAACACATAGGTGTGAAAGTTGGTGTCCAAACCAGGGGTTGTAATGGTCTTTCTTATACTCTTGAATATACAAAGACAAAAGGATATTCTGATGAAGAAGTTGTTCAGGATGGAGTCAGAGTGTTCATCAAAAGGAAAGCACAGCTAACACTTTTAGGAACAGAAAAGGACTACGTAGAGGACAAATTATCCAGTGAGTTTGTGTTCAACAAACCAAACATCAAAGGAACATGTGGCTGTGGAGAAAGCTTTAATATTTGACTCCTCAGACTGCTGTGGCTGGGAGCTCCAGGAAAGTGGTGGGAGCCCTGGCTTACTGAAGAAATCATATGACTGTCACATGCTTAAGGTTGATAATGCATGGTTGCCTCAGGAGGAAAATAAACTGATACATTGTGGAAATGAAAAAAAAAAGACACATTGGAAGGACTAACCAGCAGAGGAGAGGAAGCTGAGGACTGAATTAGTGAATAAGAAGACAGGGTAGAAAATATCAACCAATCAGAAAACCAAAAGGAAAAAAACAATTAAAAAACAGGAAGATAGCTTAAGAAAACTGTGGGACAAATGGAAACGTAATAACATTCTCATCATAGGAGTCCCCAGAGAAGTAGAAAAATGGCAATGGTTAGAGAATATATTTCAAAAAATAGTGACAGAGAACTTTTTTTTTTTTTCAAATCTTTATTGTTGGATGTAAAATGTATTACAGATGTTCCACATTTTTCCCCCATTGACCCCCTCCTCCCCCCTCCCGCCCCCCTCCCACCTTTTCCCACACTATTGTCTGTGTCCATTGGTTATGCATATAAGTTCTTTGGTTTATTTCTTCCCTTTCACCCATTCCCCCAACCCCCTTCCCAACTGGAAACCAACAAAATGTTCTCTGTATCTATGAGAATGTTTCTGTTCTTCCTGTTCATTTTGTTTGTAGATTCCATTGTTGGTAGATATGTATTCATTGCCATTTTGTTTGTTCATACATTTTATCTTTTTCTTCAAAAAGACCCTTTATCATTTCATATAATAACGGTTTGGTAGTGATGAACTCCTTTAACTTTTTCTTGTCTGGGAAAGTTTTTATATGTCCATCGATTCTAAATGACAGCTTTGCAGGATAGAGTAATTTTGGTTGTAGGTTCTTGGTTTTCATCACTCTGAATATTTCTTGCCACTCCCTCCTGACCTGCAAAGTTTCTTTTGAGAAATCAGCTGACAGCCTAATGGGAACTCCCTTGTAGGTAACTAGCTGCCTTTCTCTTGCTGCTTTTAAGATTCTCTCTTTGTCTTGAACCTTTTGCATTTTGATGATGATGTGTCTTGGTGTGGGCCTCTTGGGGTTCATCTTATTTGGGACTCTCTGTGCTTCCTGGACTTGTATGTCTGTTTCCTTCACCAAGTTAGGAAAGTTTTCTGCTATTATTGTTTCAAACAGGTTTTTGATTTCTTGTTCTCTCTCTTCTCCTTCTGGCACCCCCAATATGTGAATGTTGGCACGCTTGAAGTTGTCCCAGAGGCTCCTTACACTATCCTCATTTTTTTGGATTCTTTTTTCTTTGTGCTGTTCTGATTGGGGATTTTTTGCTTCCTCATATTCCAAATCGATGGTTTGCTCCTTGGATTTACATACTCTATTATTGAAGCTGTGTAAATTATTCTTTATTTCAATTAATGCCTCCTTCAATTCTAACGGTGTATCCATGATTTCTAACTGGTCCTTTTTTATGCTCTTGAGGCCCTCCCTAAGTTCGCTGAGGTTCTCACTAAGTTCATTGAGCATCCTTATAAGCAGTATTTTGAACTCAGTATCTGTTAGGTTGCTTATCTCCATTTCGCTTAGTTCTTTTATTGGGGTTTTGTTCTGTTCTTTCATTTGGGACCTGTTTCTTTGTCTCCTCATTTTGGCTGCCTCCCTGTGTTTGTTTCAGTGTATTACTTAACGAGAGGTATGGGGCTCGCTGAGACCAGATGCTGCTCGTTTGAAAGAATTTAGGAAAAACCTGAAGCAGGATCCAAGACTAGCCAATCCTATGGTTAAGAAAGTGGCAACATCTTGGGTGGGCCTGAAAGTTGGGTGGGACGGGGCCTCAGGGAATCACCAGGGTGGGGCTACCAGTGTGAGCCACGTTGCTGGAGTCCCAGATATGGAGACTGTCTGCTGCCTCTGGGAAGGGCTCACCAAAGGAACAAAGGCCTCTTACAGCACGTTTGTCCCTGAGGAAGCCCCCTCTCCAGCCCTCGCTCCAGTGCCAAACAGCTCAGTTCTTCCCTGGATGTCTCTGGCACCCCTCGAGCAGGCTCCCCTCCAAGCTTAGAGGGAGTGAGTCTGATAAGTTCATGCATGGGCCCTTTAAGAGGAGTTGCCTGGGGCTCCAGCCGTGTCAGCTTCCCTGAGCCTCAGTTCCCACTGGTTTTTCCAGCCAGAAGTTGTAAAGACTTCTCTTCCTGGCACTGGAACCCTGAGCGGTGCACCTGGTGTGGGATGGGGACCCCTCAGTCCTCAGGAAGGACCTTCCCAGCCACGGGAGCCTCCTGATTTTTATCCACCACACTTGGGTGTGGGACCAGCCCATCACACCGCCGCACCTCCGTGCCACCGCCACCCCTCGGGCCGCCGCCCCTCCTACCAGTCTGGATATAGCTGCTTTTTTAAATTCCGTAGTTGTAGGACTTCCATTCAGCTTGATTTCAGGCAGTTTTGAATGATGGTTGTTCTGTAGTTTAGTTGTAACTTTGATGTGGTTGTGGGAGGACGCGATACCACGTTTACCTACACCGCCATCTTGACCGGAAGTCTTAACAGAAAACTTTTTTAACTTGGTGAAGGAAGAAGACATTCAAGTTCAAAAAGCACAGAGAGCCCCAAGGAAGAAGGACCCAAACAGGCACACATCCAGACACATAGTAATCAAAGTGGCAAAAATTAAAGACAAAGAGAGAATCCTAAAAGCAGCAAAACAGAAGCAACAGGTTACCTACAAAGGTAACCCCATAAAGCTCTCACCTGACTTCTCAACAGGAACACTACAGGCCAGAAGGGAATGGCATAAAGTCATTAATGTCATGAATAACAAGGATCTGAATCCAAGATTACTCTATCCAGCAAGAATATCATTCAAAACAGAAGGTCAAATGAAGAACTTCACAGCCAAAAATGCTAAGGGAATATATTAACACCAAACCAGCACTGCAAGATATGCTAAAATGACTGCTGTGATTAGTAAAAGAAACAGAAAGAGAAATATGACCACACTAAACAAAAATGGCAATAAATAAGTACATATCAATTACCACTTTGAACGTGCATGGGTTGAATACTCTGTTAAAAAGACATAGAGTAGTCTAGTGGATAAGAAAGTATGAGTCACATATATGTTGTTTATAGGAGACCCACCTCAAAACAAAAGACTGACATAAATGAAAGTGAAGAGATGGAAAAAAAATGTTTCAAGCAAAAGAAAAGAAAAAAACCTGGTATAGCAATACTCATATCTAATAAAGTAGATTTCAAAATGAAGACTATAAGTAAAGACAAAGAAGGCCACCACATAATATTGAAAGCATGTATTCAACAGGAAAATATAACCTTGGTAAATATATATGCACCCAATAGAGGAGCACCAACATATATTAAAAATATTCTGGAAGACTTCAAAGGAGAAATCAACAGCAATACATTCATAGCAGGGTACTTCAACACCCTGCTGACATCACTGGATAGATCAACTAAAGAAAAAATAACAAAGAAACACAGACTCCAAGCAAAGTGCTAGACCAAATGAATTTTATAGACATCTACAGAGAATTACACTCCAAAACTGCAGAATTCGCATTCTTCTCAAGTGCACATAGGACATTCTCAAATATAGACCACATGTTAGGACACAAACTAAGTCTCTACAAGTCCATAAAGATTGAAGTCATATCAAACATCTTCTCAGATCACAATGGCATGAAAGTAGAAATCAATGGCAACAAGAACATGAAAAGACATTTGAAAACATGAGGCTAAATAACATGTTAATGAACAATGAATGGGCTACCCTGGAGATCAAGGAAGAAATTAAAAATTTCCTGGAAACCAATTAAATGAACACACAACAACACAAAATCTATTGGATGCCACAAAAGCAATTCTGAGAGGGAAGTTCATAGCACTACAGGCCTACCTCAAGAAGCAAGGAAAATTTCTAATTGATTATCTAACCTCACAATTTAAAGAACTAAAAAGCAAACAAAAAGAAAACCCCAAAGCAAGTAGAAGGAAGAAAATAGTAAATATCAGAGCAAAAACAAATGACAAGGAGACCAAAAAAAAAAAAAAAATTCAAAGCATTGATTAAACAAAGAGCTTGTTCTTTAAAAAGATAAACAAGATTGATGCACCCTTAGCTGGACTAACCAAGAAACAAATAGAGAGAATCCAAATACACATAATCAGAAATGAAAGAGGAGAAATAATAACTGAAATCACAGAAATACAAAGGATTGTAAACAAATATTTTGAGCAATTATACGGCAACAAACTTGACCATCTAAGCGAAATGGACAAATTTCTAGAAACACACAGTCTCCCAAAACTGAACCAAGAGGAGATAGAAAACTTGAACAGACTAATAACAACAAGAGAAATTGAAGATATAATCAAGACTCTCCCAGCAAACAACAGCCCCGGCCCCGACGGCTTCACAGGAGAATTTTACAAAATTTTCAAAAAAGAACTAATACCCATTCTTCTCAAACTATTTCAAAAAATTCAAGAACAAGGAAGACTTCCAAACTCGTTTTATGAGGCCAGCATAATGCTAATTCTAAAACAAACAAACAAACAAACAAAAAACAATACAAAGAAAGAAAACTACAGACCAATATCCCTGATGAAAATAGATGCAATAATCCTGAACAAACTAGTAGTAAATCAAACCCAGCAATACGTGAAAAAAATTATTCACCATGACCAAGTGGGATTCATCCCAGGGATGTAAGGCTGCTACAATACTTGCAAATCAATAAATATGATACATTACATAAAATGAAACATAACAATCATATGATCATATCAATAGATGCTGAAAAACCATATGACAAAATGCAGTATCCATTTCTGATAAAAACCCTCAAGAATCTAAGAATAGAGGGGTCATATGTCGACATAATAAGGCCATATATGAAAGACCTACAGCCAACATCATACTCAATTGGCAAAAATTAAAAGCATTTGCATTAAGAACAGGAACAAGACAAGAATGCCCACATTCACC